CAATGATTTATTTATAGTATGTACAGCAGAGTGGTAGGTACCCTGGCACCCTGCACTTGAAAAATTTCTTTCGTACTAATTATCAAATTGAAACCAAACACGGTTTTGTTGAAAATGTTAATAATACGATTCGCATAGAAGCACTTGAGGTGTACATAATATATGACATAACTACAGTAATAAAGATGTAATCAAAGTGCATAAATGTGGAATTATTTTATTATTATTACTGGGGCCCGGGAGATAAGATAATTAATTTAATTTTTCAAATGAAAAAATAAAACAAACATACATAATGTACATAATATATAATTAGGTAGTTGTGTATAAAATATTAAAAAACATTTTTTAGTTCTTTTCTATTACATTTTTGCTGGGTCAAAAAGCTTTAAATGTAATACAAAATAAGAGGTTCCTTCGTAAGTTGTTATTATGGCTACACAAAAATATTAAGGATACATAGGCACAATATTATTTTATAAGCATTTGAAGTTCTTATTAATTTGTACCTTATTGAAAATGTCTTGTGTTAAATTTTTATAGCGAAAGCTTGAAAATTTAATACAAGGTTCATCATAAGTATTTCATACTGGAATTAAAAAATCTAAAATATATGTATATATTTGATTTATTTGTATAGACATTTGAAATAAATAAATAAATTGAGCTTTAAGTTAAAATTTGGACAAAATTCGATGAACAATAAACATTTTAGTTGTTTTATTGTAATTCAAAAATATTTTCGTCGGGGACTTGATACTTAAAAAAACAAAAGTATATTATTATATTTATACACGCAAATATACAATGACATTTTCAAATGCAATTTTTTCATCAGAAATTAATTCAATTTTCTGTATTACTATTACCTACCTACTTAATAGCAAAATAAATTACTTTAATAGCAATACAAATACATCTTAATATATACCTAGGTGGCTAGGTAGGGACTCAATAATATAGGCTGACAGACTATGTCTTCGCCCATAATAGTTTTTCGTGTACAATGATTTATCATTGGATTCAAATTTAACATATAGGAACATTACTGGCTACTGCAGTGTTTTATTCAATTGCGTACCTATTTACTTGATATCACCTATGTGGCTATATACTGTACGTCTGTACAGGACAGCGGTTACCTATCCCCCTCCCCCATTTCGTTTAGTTGACTTATAATTTTATTTATAGTCACAAGTCACTAATTATTAGACTTAAAATTTAAAGTTACAATAAGTAAAATCAATAATTTAGCTTTCATGAAATCTTTTTATATTGTTTTCTTAGTATCTATTTTATAATATTTAATTTCACGATAATTTATTGACGTTTGGTTCTGAAACTAATGCACAATTTTAATTACAGAACAACTCGAACAAAGCCTATAATGTATACTATTTAGATAGGTAGTTATAGTAATTATTAATGGCTAAAACTGATGACAACAATATTAATGCCAGCAGCAGTGTCCTTGTCCTACTTGTCCTCTACTTTTCTTTAAACCGTTAAATGTGACATTGCCAATGGAATACTGAATACAGTTAATAGTAGGTACCTATATCATTATTATTGGAAAAATTATGGGTTTTCAATCACAACAATACAGTCGAATAAATCAATATTGTCAATAGTATTATATAAAAGTACCTATAGGTACTCAATAGCCAATACCTACTTACTGAATATAATATAATACCTACCTAGATACATATTATGTACAGTCAGTTGAAAGGGGCAAAGGCAAATTTTTGGGGATGGTAAAAATTATAGCTTTTGCTTATGATGTATTCATGATTTTTATACCTTTTTTGGTATTGTTATCAGTGCTCGAATTGGGAATTATTAAGTAGAGGAGCTCAATCCAACAATTTATAAACTGCGTTCCAAGTGCAGCGAAATTACTCAACACAGACCCGTGATGGTTTTGCCCCCCACACCCCCCTTAACCAATTCCTAATTTATCAATGCTACATTTCACCTTTTGGTTACTACATTTTAACTTTATTCTATTCAAAATGTCCAAATATAATATACCTATTTAACTATATTATGTGCCTATATAACATGTTATTGAATATGAATTTATATTCACCTTATTTTTCGAAGTTTATATTGATAAAAATAATACCTACATAATATATTTCGGTAGGAAATAAAAAAATTATAATTATCCGTGATAATAACTTAATAATTATAAATTGTGGTTCAGACGCATACCTATGTCAATTGTGAACACACAGTACCTACATAGATATTTGCTAATACAGACGTACAGTATATAGCCACATAGGTGATATCAAGTAAATAGGTACGCAATTGAATAAAACACTGCAGTAGCCAGTAATGTTCCTATATGTTAAATTTGAATCCAATGATAAATCATTGTACACGAAAAACTATTATGGGCGAAGACATAGTCTGTCAGCCTATATTATTGAGTCCCTACCTAGCCACCTAGGTATATATTAAGATGTATTTGTATTGCTATTAAAGTAATTTATTTTGCTATTAAGTAGGTAGGTAATAGTAATACAGAAATTTGAATTAATTTCTGATGAAAAAATTGTAGATACATAAACATAATATCTGCGAACTACTAAACTAGGCAAAGAACAAGCGTGATATAATATAAACATCAAGCAATCTATAATAAAAAAATGAGAAAGCCAGAAAGGTATTATATTAGGAGGTCTAAACTATACTGGTATTCAACCGCTAGGTCGCTACCCAATCTATGTAATCTATAAAGATGGGTCGTTAAAAAAAAAAATAAGTATAATATAAAATTATAAATTATAAATTATGAATTTGAATTAGTTATGAATGCATTGAAGAACCATATTTTACAGTAGATAATATAATGACAGTTAAAGTGTCTACTGAGATAGAAAATCAATAAATTGAGCTTACTTGTGATCCCAAGCTTAAACAAATGTTTATTGAAACTTTTTTGGAAATGTTTTGGGCACACTTATGCATGGAAAATTATGCAAGACTAGCAGCTAAAGTCATTTTTCTTTCATGGCCTACAAATTTGACACGAGTCGTGAAAATATTGTTAAAAAAACAGAGGATGAACTAGAAAAAATGAAAAATATTTTTATATGAAAAAATGTAAAATTCATTAGGTATGTCGTATCTTTGACAACAATTTCCACTCCAAATGTTAATAAAAATTATTTTGGGAATTAGTTTGTACCGTCCCCCCGTCCAAGTAAAAAGAAATAGTTGGGGTACACAAAAAAAAATTAAAATACTAAAGGAGCTCCGTCCCCTTGCACCCCCCCCCCAATTCGAGCACTGATTGTTATATAGTATATTTAAAATACATATGTACCTATACACATTTTGTATTTTAAAAATAGTGTTGAGCATCTAATTAGAAATTAAAAAAAATACACGATACCTAGGTAATATATAGGTTTATTATATTATTAAAATATTACTTATACAATAAGATAAAATATTTTCGTTGGATGTTTTATCTGTATAGGACCTCGAGTTTGGTGATCGGAGCTCTGGGAGGCGTAGCTGGCGAAAACTGTCTACTTGTCATATTATTTTGTTAGTACCTATATAGTATATACTATATTTTTATTTAAATTATTTATTTATTTATTTATTTGCTGTTCTTAACTCGTTAAATACGTAGGATCTTAAAAAAAAATCAAAATCCGTTAAAGGCGTGGTGCCCGTCGGTAAACCTCAACGTTGTACGCGCATGCGTAAAAACAGAAAATCGCTAACTTCGGAACGATACTTATAACTTCCAAAATAATAATTTTTGCAATTTTTTTTTTTCTGCTTCGTTCTTAACTTATTAAAATACATGTTTCGAAAAAAAAAATTAGGAAAAGTGGATTTGTTCTTTTATTTAAATTTTAAAATACAAGTAGGTAGATAAGTACCTAATGTTTTATAATTTTATATACAACTATATAGGTATACTTTAAAATTTTACTCTTAAATACTACTTTGGTAAACAAAATATTTAAATCTAAATGTTTGATGTAATATCGTAAAAACAGAAAATTACAAGTATTTCGGGGATGGCGATGGCCCCCCTCGCACCCCCCTTCAGGGATGCGGCCGTATATGGTTTTAAATACGATTTTTAAATTTTCTCTTACCAATAATAATTGTAGAAATTTGAAATATAATATTTGAAATATAGGTAATTTATATATTACCTATATAATAACAAAAATAATATGAGACTTTCATCAAAAGGTCTGGCGGCAGGGCCGTAGGTAACTCGTAAGCTCCGTCGATAGGTAGGCTACATCAGTATAGGTATTTTAGTATTTAGTACTATTGCAAAGACTACAAAGATTACGAAGCTACACCTAAGCTCGCTTTAGCATTTATTGCATAGAAAAAATTAAAGCTCAAAATCGAGCTAAATCGTACAGCGTGTGGCGACTTGCGGTAGTTTTTAAAATCAGAATCGTGAGTCTCAGATATCGATGTTTCGGGACCCCAATTGTAGCGGCATCGTTTTTTAGGGGTGGCGGTGACTGCCGTGAGCCGGGAGGGCGTGTCCTATGGTAGAAGCGGCGTGCTTTATGCGATAATAATATAAAATATCAATATAATATTATTATATAATATAATAATTTACATAATAGTTATTAGGTAGTCATACATAATATCATGCCATACGGATAATGTCAATACTATTATTGCTCAATAATTTATAATAAAAACCGACGACGAGATTTCAACTTGGTGTTGGCTACGGGGTGAGTCATAATATTCCGCATCCCCACCTCTGCACAGCCCTGACGACCGACAAGCGTGCACCGGGCGCCGGTCTCAGACACTCAGGCCTCGCGTCCTTGCTAGTTGCTAGACAATAGTTACTTAGTACTCAGTAGTCAGTAGTCACTACATCAGTGACCAGTGGCACGCCAGTCGTGTTCGATCCACCTTGTCGACCGTTATATCACATCGCTGGCCGGTGTCTTCGATAAAAGTTCTAGAAGTCGTCCGCTGAAAACATGCCGAACATAATCAACGAGGTGAAGTTGGACTTCAAAGACGTGCTGCTCAGGCCAAAAAGGAGCACACTGAAGACCCGAGCTCAAGTGAGTGTTGCACACAAAATTCTTGTATAAAAACGAAATCGATTTGTGAAAAAAGTGTAAAAAAAACGTACCTACTTACGCGTATCTATGTAAAAAAAATACAATTTTGTTTTCTATTGTAGGTAGATTTGTTTCGGCATATTACATTTCGTAACTCCAAGCGCACGTACCAGGGTATACCAATGATGGCATCCAATATGGATACTGTCGGAACTTTTGAAATGGCAGCTGCCCTGGGAAAAGTAAGCATGCAAACAATAATGTGTCGTTCGTCAGTGTCCTAAAAATAATTATATCCTGATAGTTATGAACTATTTATATTCCAAAACACAAGTTTTACATTTTACATTATAAAAAAAAATACATATTGATTATCTTTCACCAATTCATAATAATATTTTTTTTCGTACATAAACTAATTAGTCATTTAAATTCCATTCAATATCAAATGATTTAAAAGATTTAAAAGATTTTTATTATTTGTATTTATTTCATTTTTCAAAACTGTACAGAATTATTTAGCTAATATAACAGATTATTTCTACAATTTTTTTTTACTATTTGTGTTATAGTTTCATGATAATGTATTGGAAACAGTATTCATGTTGTAGTAAATATAAAATTTTATCACTTTTACAAAATGACCATCATTGGTACTTTAGAAAGGTAATTACATTTTTAGTAATTACTAAAATCTAACTTTCTATGCCTTTGACCTACTTATTTTTTTTCCTTCTGTCATAATAATTATAATGATATTTTAAAACACCTCTTACATTTAAGTTTATAAATAGATTAAGCTAGAGTAAAGCAAGGACTGTCAGATGTTTTATTGGCAGCTTAACAAAAAATATAAATTATTCAATTTTATTCAAATATTGCTATTGTTTGGTTATATATATTACATATTGTATCAGATATGGGTTTAAAGTTTTTTAGTTAAATAACATGAAACAGTTTTCCAGTATTAATTGCTGTTTGAAATATTTTCTTTTTAAAATTAATTAGGGTCTTCATTATTTACTATTTTGCTTTTATGTTAGTAAATTTAAAAAACAAATTTTTTTCTGTGATCCTATCAATGAAGTATTCTACATGTCAAGTTAAAATTAATTGTTTTTATATTTATACTGTGTGTATATAAATAAATAAATATATTATATTCCTTAATTTTTACAGTCTAAAACAAAATCATGACCCAATACAATTTACTAATGTATTTATTAATTATTGAATTGGTAACTTTTTGGACTATGTACACCATACTCAGGCCATAAAATGCTTACAATTTAGTTTAGTTTGTTCAAAGTTGTATTGTAAAATAATATTTTCCAAAGTAAAATATGTACCTACTACCTACCTAAATTGTTTAATTGTGTATTTTTTCAAACTTTTCAACTTGGCTTTTCACTCACAATTATTTAAATTGTGAGAAATTACATGAAATCTTTACTAGTTCTAAATAATAATTCATAATATGTGACTAAATTAAAATGGTCAAATAAACCATTATCTACAAATGCAAACAATTAATAAAAATATTATGTCATTATAGTGCCACGTACAATCATAATTTCAATAAAGTAAATTGTTTATTATTTAAATCTATTTTAATTTTAATATAATAGTAGGAAGAATACTATTTACTTTGATTAGTTTTATTATACATAAATAAAGCATTTAAATGTAATTGATGACCACATTGGACCTTTTAAATATATTTTATTACTTATTAGTTATTAGTAAAATAGTATGGTAGATGTATGAATTTAATATTGGCACATTATTAAATTATTTATAATTTTCACTTCAAAACCTTGTACCTTCTATAAAAAAATTGTAATTCAGTTTTTAATTACCTATCATAATTTATCAGCTCCTATAAATTAAAATGCTCATAAACATTTTGGCTCAAACTACATTGATTTTTGTTGCAAGTTAAAATCAACTAAAAAGTTATCACTTCTGGCAAATTATAAAAATATAATTATAATCTATCGAGTAATCTATTAGGTAGTTAGTTGTTAGTATCAACTTATTAATATTAAATTAGTATAGTAATGTGTTTTTTTAGCTTTGTGCTTACATAGACAGTTCAACATAATGAGTGGTTACTACTTACTAGTTAGGTACTATGTTAAAATACATCTTAAAGTTGTATTAATGCAATAAATTATATAACCCTTATTTAAACTAATTTTAGGTAGGTACCTATTTATTTTATTTTTTTCCTGTAGGATTTTAGTTTAAAACATATTAATCACCATCCTTATCATCTTTATTCAACCTATAACAATGTATAATATGTATTAATCAGCACACCTATCCCTGTATACCTATATTTGAACTATAATATAGCTTTGACTGTGTATAATCATATAATATTTAATGTTATGAATTCGTAATTATTCAGCTAAATTAAAAATTATTGTGCTCCGATAGTATAATAAATAATAATAATATAATGCAATAGTATCTGTAGGCTGTATAGGTACCTATAAATTAGAATTATTTGATATTAATCACTATACCTAATATAGTATCTATTGTTTGCATAATAATTATAAATTGTTCAATGCAATGAAACTTTAAATACCTACCTACGCCCTACCCATTCCATTTTAGTTACAGATTTATATTATAACTATATCTAAATTGGGAAGTTTAGAATTTAGGTACTAGGTAGCTAAGTAACCTAAACCTTATAAAAATATGTATTTTTAAATTATAATTATTTAAATTTGAAGAAAATTAGAATAGAATAGAGGGCATTTTATTTTGGAGACCGCAGTTCTATAAATAATTAAGTCTTAAAGAACCAAACAAATACTTGATTAAAACTGACTTAATTGTTATTCATATTATTCGATTTTAAATGTCAGCGTGTTGAAATATAATAATATGTAAATAATAAATACTAAAATATTATGTAATTTATACTTGTTAATCTCAGAAGTTATAAATGTATAAGTTTATAACACAGTATACTATTGTGAATCATGAGTCATGATCGTTATCATTGTTTTGACGACGAGTTCGCTAAAAATCGTTATTTTACGTTCACAATTTGCATAGCAATATAATAGCAGTTTCGGTGTTTCATTTTAGTACTTATTTAGATTGCATGCAATAAAAACAAAACATGGCTTAAAAGCCTGGTACGCAACTGGTACGGTTTACGTTCAGAGTGTAGTGATTGCTTACGTAATTTTCCTATGAAATCTATGCATTTTTTTAAATGGGTACTTGAAGTTGCTTTTAATAGGTTTCTTTATTATTTTCTTGTAGATATTTTAATATAATATGTTATATACTAATATATCATTGTACCATGAAAGCTGTAATTTATGTTACATCAATTTGACAAATTATCAATATATGCCAATAGGTATGTAATAAATAATCTGGTTTCGTTGGGTTGAATTAAAAATATCTGGTTGTTTAATAATCAAACGTAATTAAAAGTTATCAAAAGGCTGATTTAGATTGGAATTATTATTACAGTATACTATTTGTATTTGTCCTTTATAAACGATTCGGGTTTTCACTATGCATTTGAGCATTTCGTTAAAATAAATAAATAATTAGTTATTTATAATTAATTATCTTTGAGTACAGTATTTATGAGTAATTTCAAACTGATTAATGATTCGTGTATGATATTATATTCTTATTGTAATAACTTTAAGTTCTTACATGATAATTATGTTCACTGCTCCGGTTGTTTAAAAAATAAAGGCCATACAAAGTATAATAATAATTTCATTTTTACGATAAAGATAAATATTAAATATTATATAAAACCATTCAACCATTGTGTTTAGAATTTAGATACCTAGTATTGCTAGTATACCTATATCTATACTCAATGCCGGTCAATGGCAACAATATTATGTATCACGTGATCGTTGAATTTACATAGTACATTATTTTCATGTACTATGGAATGGCATGTGTCTGTTTTTAATTGTTATCATATTATCTGTATTATTATTATTTACAATAATAAAACTAGTGTATATTTTTTCTTTATTATGACTATAATGAATAGTAATATATTACATATAATTCACGTGATCGACTGCAAAATAATAGCGTGGCAGAGATATTATTTTGTTTCAATGGCTGATCATTTATCAATATTTCCTAAATAATATAACAAGCGTTAATAATATTATTGTCTAGAAATTTTATTCAAAACATTACATAATTTATTGAATCCATTCAGCTAAATTTTCTTTTCTTACCCACGGCCACACGTGTCTGGATTTAGTAATATTGCTCTATGGTTTAGGCTATAGCTGACACGTAGGTTAATAAAGTTAAGAACATATTCTTATTTTTAGAATTAAAGAACAAAATGTAAACTTTACATTAAAATGTACCTACATAACTAATTTAGATTCTTAACGTAGCGATAAACGTATTGCTTTGTAAGTGATTGTATTTTTATGACGGTTATAATTTTTGAGAGTAGGTAGTAAAAATGCTTCAATATTAAAATTGTATGGTACTCATTGAAGGGTCATTACTCATTAGTCATTAGGTACCTACTCATTAGTAATGAAAATTTGATTTTTTTTTTTGGCGTGAAGACACTAAACGTTTTAATCTCCAAAAATTAAAAGTGGTTTCTGGACTCTGGTAGCAAATCGGACGTGAACAAATTCCCAGTATTTTAAGGATAATCCGGAAGAACTTAAAAAAAATTATGGAAAAACGAGAATATTTACTCAATAAAATTTTTTGAATAAATCGATTTTTTGTTATTAAAATAAATTGCCGTAGATACTTAAAACGTATTTAAATATTTAAATTATCATTTTCAAGACTTAATATAATTTTAAAAATATATTGTTCTTTTTTAGTTATTTGCAGTTATTTGAAAATGTACCTTTTTAGTGTTTTTTCCGATTTTTTCTTAGTCAAAAAGCTTAACAGTTTAAAATAAAGTTCCTCATAAGATGTTCTTTTAGAAATTTAAAAATATCAACTACCTACCACTACTACTAAATTATGTACAAGTTTTCTTATTGACGTTAGGTAGATGTTTAAATTTTGACAAAATCGCATGTTTAAATGCAAAATAATTAACTACTTTAGGTACCTATTCAAAAAATATTAATCATAGGGACTTGAAACTTTTTTGCTAGTACGCGTATTATCGTTTATTCAAGTTTATTATTATTTATTATTTGTTGTAGGTACCTACACAATGAAACTGTGTTTTAAGCTACCTATTTATCCCGTACAATGGTCGGCGGACGTGGTATTATACCTACTTAATAACTAATATTTTATTTTAATATAATATTAAATGCTATGTTATTGGCAACAATTCGCTTGAATAAAATCTTATATTATATATAATACCATTTATTATAAATCAATGGTATTATGTATATTTTGGGAACTGTTAAATTGGTTTTGTTGGAGTGCATATAATTACATAAATATATTTTTTGAACACAAACAATTTTTTATTTTAAATGCTTGTCTTTATGTGAACACCTGTGTATTTTGAATTGGCAAGACACAGACATACTCTTTCAGATAAATATTGATTTCATTATTTTCTTTATAATGATGATAGTTTTTGAATAGATTTCTCAACTCTATTGGTAATGTATTTTTTTTATGGCAAAGCCGGGAAAATTTAACAAATTTGACAAAACTGTCTTTGTACCTATAACTTTGGTCATTGGACCTAATATCCTGAAACCACTTATACAGTTTAACGTCTTTCCCGAAATGTCTCTAAATTATTTTTATATGGAGCATTTAAATAATATTTTTACAGATTACAACATTTTTAATTTAAATATTTAATAATTATAAATTTCTTGTCTATTATCTTCCACCATAGATTAAAATATTATGGTATTTTAAATAATATATTTTTTGATTTAATTTATGTTTAGCATGGGCTATTTACTACAGTCCACAAGTACTATGAACCTGCTGAGTGGTTAGAGTTTGCTAACAACAATAAAGACATTTTACCACACATAGCTGTTACTTGCGGTATAAATGACCATGAATTTGAAAAACTCAAAAATATATTGGAAGCCGTACCTGATATATCTTTTATCTGCCTTGATGTGGCTAACGGTTACACTCAACAATTTGTGGATATTGTTCGGAAAACGCGTTTAGCATATCCAGAACATACAATAATTGTAAGTACTTATTTTTAAACAACAGAATCATTGTAATTTAGTAATTAAATAGGTAAGTAATATTTTTACTGTACTGTTTCTTATTGATTGGTATTCATTTTTTTCCATGTTCCAAAAATTAACATTTATGATTATAACTATATAGTATTTACCAGTTTTTTGTCTTACGGCTATATGCTGTCTCTGGAACTTCCGGTATAAGGGTTAGGGATGTATCCAACTGAACTTTGGGTGAGCTTAGCAAAATTCACTGCCACATTACAGATTGAATTATATTTTTATTGCTATATTATTATAATAATATTTAATGTACAATGTAATTTATAAATAATTATTTTTAGGCCGGCAACGTGGTTACTGGTGAAATGGTTGAAGAATTAATTTTGTCTGGTGCTGATATCATTAAAGTTGGTATTGGCCCAGGATCAGTATGTACCACACGTATTAAGACGGGCGTGGGTTATCCTCAGTTAAGTACGGTAATTGAATGTGCAGATGCTGCTCATGGTCTACAAGGACATATTATTTCTGTGAGTATCTATTTACGATTACCATAATTATTAATTTTGTTTTATTGACATTACACATGAATTAACACAATGGTTTTTTTGTTAAAAGTAAAATTTTAATTTAAAATGTTTAAATATTACAGGATGGTGGATGTGTTTGTCCTGGAGATGTTGCCAAGGCATTTGGTGCTGGAGCAGATTTTGTGATGCTTGGTGGAATGCTAGCTGGACATGATCAAAATGGAGGCGAGTTAACCATTAAACCAAATGGCGCTAAATGTAAATTATTTTATGGTATGAGTTCATTAACCGCGATGAAGAAACATGCTGGTGGTAAGGCAGAGTACAGGTATGTTGTTATTATTATCATTATGTGTTATAGGCATAATGATCAACTTTAATATATTAATTATTATTTTAGAGCTGCTGAAGGGAAAGCCGTTGAAGTACCATACAGAGGTGATGTAAATGATACTATTCTTGATATACTTGGTGGACTTCGTTCAGCATGTACCTATACCGGAGCACATACATTAAAAGAGTTGCCTAAGCGTGCCACATTTATTCGATGTACTCAACAAGTGAACTCTGTGTACTCCAACATAACTACTCGAGAATAAATAACAATACTGTATAATGTATATTGTATATGGTACATACAAAAAGGTATTTATTTACCTGATGTAATATGGTATAATATTCAATTATTATTGGTTCTATAGCATAATTTATTCCAGTCACATTTTACATTACCTGAGCGCCTGTAGAATTTAAGACTGTATTTTTACAGGATGTATAATAATTTTTTATTTTTACAAATGTAATTTCAATTTTGTGATAGAAATATTTTCTCATTGTTATTAATATTAATTCATTATTCATAATCAATCATTAGTTACTAATTACTATAGTTAATGAGTTTAAAATGTATTTAAAAATAAAACGTAGGTTAGGTCTGGTTTTTAGCTTTTTGATTTTTTTTTAATAATTAAAATTTTGTTCTAAGTAGTTTGGAGCATAAAATATTATGTTATATTTATTATAGTTGTTAATTATTTATCTTAAACAAAAAAAACTCAAATTCTACGCAATGTAATTCTAAAACTGTGATGTGATTTTTTTTCTATGTTTGGAAATGTCTTTAGTTGTATAACATCTAAGTTTTAAATATGTATTATTCACCTATGTTGATTTTTTATAGATTTCTAATTTCTATTTAAGATCTGATTACAATCGAATAATTTAACGCTAATAATTAATAATTATTAGGTAATAAAAAAAATTAATTGTATTATTTGAATTTGTAAAATTATTTGAAAACTTCTATATTTTACTTGTTATTTTTTAATCAATTAATAAACTAAAATTTGATTTAAATTTAATTGAATAGTTGTTTGATATTATGTTAGAATATAAAAAAAATCTAAAATGTATTATATTATTAGGTACAAACATTAAGTTTACATTTTAGAATTAGACTAGCTGTCACGCCCAGCGTTACCCGTGCCAAACATTTGTTTTTTTATAAATATAATATTATATTTGTAAAACAAAAAATGTGTAAGCCATTTTTTTAATAATTTATTATAATAGTAATTTAATATATATATATATATATAATGGAAAACATAATATAAAGAAACAAAAAAATATTCTTTTTTTCGTGATCTGAAAAAAATTCATGTGTGGGCTACCCTTCAGTTACCTATATGAGTTTAAAAAATAAGCTATAAATACCTTCGAAGTCTCAAGGAAACTATTGATAACTTTTAATGAAAACTGTCCAGTAGTTTTTGAGTCTATTAATTTCAGATAAAGCAACAACCGTTTTTAGCTGCATGACCCAAATACTCCAGTAAAAAATAAAAATATAGCATTATATATAGGCGTGTCTTGGTTTTAGTGTACCTCAGTTTACGGGAAAATTAGTGTTGGTGTACCTTGCTTTGTGAACTAATTTGACCGAGATGGACAGTTCGCCTGTGGTAAATTGGATATAGCACTTGGTAAAAATATAAATCGAAAGTGGTTAAAACTACTCTCTAAACTAACCCGATTATAGGTAACCTTTGGCAACTATATTATAATATGTACAAAAAAATACTAATTTCTACTATTAGTATTAGAATCCGTAAGATGTAACCAATGGAATCCATTTGTAAACAAGATTTTTTTTCGATTTTTATCGTAAATCTCCCTATCGGCACATTTAAATTGTTCCGAAATTCAAATAGGTAGAAGTTTATTAAGCTCATAATTATTAAGAGGACGTTATACACCCTCATTTGTTGTCTTACAAATGTACAACATAGCAAAAACTGTTTAAGTAACCTAACCTAACTATAATACTACCCCTGTATTTATTGTGGAATTACCAAAATTCCACAGTTCATAGGAAAGAACTTTTTCTGTGTCCTAGCGAATTCATTTTTTTTGATAGCACTAATCTATAACTTTTAATAATTAAATGAAAAAACCTAATGTTCTCTAACTGATAACTTTAATTGTATCTATGTAATCCAAATAATAAAAACTCTACGACACAGATAACTGATAAAGGGGGTTTCATCAATTCCGCCAGACCTTTTTATACTAGGGGATAAGGTATATCGATTCCGGCACCATCGATTCCGCCAGTGCAAGTAGTCTAAAAACAACCTATCGATTCCGCCAGGGAAAAAATAAATCTCCCATACGACAATTATTATAGTCAATTGTAAATCGTAATGGTAGATTTATTAATAAATTATGAAGTTAAAAAAATTAATCATTTGCATTTCATTAGTTTGGCATCATCACATTATAAAAAATAATACTGTACAACTTAAAACTATTTTTGTTTTGTGTAGGTATGTATATTATATATTATATATAAACAATTAACAAATAACAATATTGTACAACTTTTGACAACATCATATATGTAATATGACATATGTTTATAATGTAGGTACACATGATAAAAATTTTATCAAATTTTATTTGTATTTTTTTGTATATTTAATATTGTATTGTATTAATTATTAATTTATTTTTAATAATTAATTGTTGAATTATTTTGTAGGTATATTATTATTATCATAACAGAAATAGCTAGGTATAGACAGCTGCAGCAGGTTGAGGTAAAAATTGGTGTGTGGCGGAATTGATAGGTTGTTTTTAGATTACCTGAACTAGCGGAGTCGATACTGGCCGAATCGATGCTACATTGGCGGAATTGATAGGTCCCCCTGATAAAGTTCTTCCCTTGTGGAATTTTAGTAATTCTACTATAAATACAGAGGGAGTATAGTTATCCCGCGCAAAATAGTTTTTGCTATGTTGTACATTTTGAAGACGGATACAACACATGCTGGTGTAGGCGGTGTAGCGACCTTAAGGCTATAAGGATAATATGATTTTGATTACCCCACTAATGAACATAAATTTGTTAATTCTTATCAAATGTATTTACTGGGTGTCTATATTAAACTAGTTATAATATTACTTTTCTTAATATTGGTGCTGATTAGTCACTCTTGACTCCAAGAAAATAACTTATTTTATTAGGAAGTAGGGATTTACTTACGATTTAATAAATAAAAGTGTGTGGCTATTGACACTATTGTGATACCTATATAGTTATTTGTTTGAGCGCTGTAATAGTAATTGTAATTTTGTTGCACGGACTGATTATTTTTACGGTTAAAATGTTATGGATTGATTGTGTATTTTAAGTTTCTTATACTTTTTTTGTTCTAAAATGTGTGGGGTGAAGTGGACCAGGCGTTTGATTTCCATTAAAAACCACTTAGATAAATTCTAGTTTTGAAGTAGACTACTAAATTTCCTTTTTTTTAAATAGTAAGACCACATTTTGGGCATAACAATTATTTTTCCCTGTTAATTCATAGCATGTGCCAATTAGCTAAATTTATAAATATATAATACCATAGTAGGTACATATACCTACAAAAACAGGAAACAAAATATAATCAATAGTTACATAGGTACAAAATTACGTGTTTATAATACATAATATTTTATAATTTTTCAGGTTATTGAGTGTTTGACTAAAATTGTGAAATCTGTTGTTATACTGACATACTGAATACCTAATGAACAACATTAAAAATAATAATAAATTGTAACCATGCTGTAGATAGGTACCTGGTTGATGGTCGTCTTGCTACTAAAAAAACTAAAAACGCAAGCAATCAAACAATAGCAACATACACGTACTATGTAGTGTGCAGAAACTCTTCCTTTTAGAGTTAAGATACTCAAGTACATAATGGTATCTAGTAGGTACCTTAAATTAAAGTACTTTAGTATCTATTGTAGGCGTACACTGTAGCCAAAGTATTGCATTTTTAGCTACCTATCCTGTCTTCCATTTTATGTCCTCCGAGATACCTACTGTAAGTTCACTGACAAACGCGAAGAACAACCATTAGGAGTTAGGTACGGTTAGGTACGAAAAGCATTTACATGACTCTATATTCGAAGCATGTGGCTATAATTATTATCAGTCATAATAGGTAAGTACTATACATACTACGGTAGTACGATGTACCTATAGGTTTTTATTTTGTGATATCGTAGAACTTATTTAGAATGTTATTGAACATGGCCTTATAGGTACCTACCTACAAATATTCCACACTTGCCTACGTAATTATATAATACATGCAATAAAAAGTAATATTTTTGTTATTAAAATTTGTTATTATTATGTATGATGCATATTTTACTCATTGTAAAAACTTAATGCCTATGCTTTTATGTACTTGAAGTAAATTTTTTCGTCTAGCCCCTACCTTTTTTATTTTTGGATGCCTGATTGAACACAATAATTATATATTATGTATTACATCTCATCATATAATATATTTATAAAGATAGGTATTAGGTACATTGGTATGGAGACATTAAATAAATACGAAAAAATGGATTAAAATCGTCTCAATAGTTTATTATAAATAATTATTAAATAGAAATTACAAAACTGTCCACCTTAGTGTAATAAAATATTTTACCAATTTTGCATTATACATTTGGAAAATTAAAATCAAAACACTTGGAAACTTATAATTGATCGTGTATATAATTTTGTTTTCTAAGATAATAATACAACTTATTATTTAATTATCTTATAGATATTTATATAAACACATCTTATCTCTAGATAAATAATTATGGAAAAAGTCAGAAGCAACAACAACAAATACGATTTGTGCAAATTGCTGGTGTATGTATTATTAATAAAACAACTAATAGGTACTTCAGCTACAATAAATCATGAATCGTAGTAGCCAGTGTAAGCGAACCATGAATTCACTATAACTGAAACGCTGTATCCTAATTAATAGAATAAATACTTTGAATTAAATTTAATATACAACCAGTCACCAGAAAATATGTTAAGTCAGACCATGTATCTATGTAAATACTGTATTATATTATTATCTTGATATTTAAAAGTCGTGTATAAAAATTAAATTTTTGAGAAATCAAAATTGTTATATGGAGTAAAAAGAATAAAATATTGTTCGTTAAATGTATGTCTATAATTAAATTTTCATTTTAAAGCGAATTGCTTCTGACTTCTGAATTAGACGTATGCCTTTATATATATTTT